CCGGGGTCCGGGAAGTGGGGCACCGACCGCGTGTGTCGGGTGCTGGCGGCCCCCTGAAGCCGGGTATCAGACCCATGGCGCCCCTTTCCCGGGCGGGCCCGGAGGGCTGCGCGGGGGCGGAGCGTGACCCGAGGCCCGGGCGGCGGGAGGACTGGGGGCCCGAACGGAGGATCGGGTGTCGGCGGGGTGGTCGCGGGCCCGGGGAGCAATGAAGGTCAGGTGCCGGGAGACGGGAGCCCGGCTGGAGGCGGGGCTGGGCCTGAGCCTACTCCGAGGTGGGGAGCCCCAGGCCAAACTTTCTGAAGTTGGGAGGGGGAAGGGGCGTGCGCGCCGTGGGCCGGGGAGTGGGGCCGAGGGGCCCTGGGCGTCTGCGCTCGGCTGCGCGGAGAGGCTTCGGCCGGTGGGAAGAGCCTGGGGGTGGAACTCAGTCGTCCAGCAGGGGAACAGGAGTAAGTGACCTCGACAGAAAGCACTGGAGAGAGCCCGAAGCCAGCTACCTCAGCCAGAGGTCTGAAGACCTCTGAGTGGGCCTTCAGGAGGGGGTGGGAGGGGGCGGTGAGCAGGTGAGTCGACCCAGGACGTTAGGGAATTGGGGAGTGGCCCCTCTGGCCCAGCAGGAACTGGACAGCAGCAGCTGTTAGCAGAGTCCCAGGCCCTGGTGTGGGGGCAAACCCTGCCCTGCTCAGCCCCCCAAGTCTCTGTTCCATTGACTCTTCCTCTTGGCTGATTCATCTCCCTGGATGCCCAGTCATGTCCTCCCCCGTGTGATCAGGAAGAGTCCAAATCTGACCCTAAACTGTGCACCAGTGGGCAGGGTTGCCCTGCCTCACGCTGCCCCACCGCTGGTACCTCCAGGGCTCTGGGTCAGCCCTCTGCTCCCATGTCCCCTCTGGCTTGTCCACCAGGTAGTGAAGACCCAGGGAGCCCTGTTGTCCACTTTCCCTTGCTGCTCGCAGGCCGACTGGAAGGCGGGTGTAGAGACTAGGGAAAGCTGCACTTGCCTTTTAGGGGAGAACCAAGAGACCAGGAAAGTGAGGAATAGGGTCATGACTGCAGACAGGAGTCACGAGCGAGGCTGGCTCTGTACACGGAGGGGCGTGAGCTTGTCTACCTGAACCGTAAGGAGGAGGAAGAGAGTGTTTGGGGTCAATGTGCAAAGATTCCGGGCAGCCGAGACATTCTGAGGTTGAGGTGGGCTGTGCAGCAGCTGGGGAGGCCCCAGCCCTAGAGTATAATAGGAGTGGGTGCAGCGACCCTCAGGGGGGTAGAGCAAAGCATCTGAGAAACAAACGGCCCTGAGCCACCTGGCGCCATGTCTCTGGGTGGGCTGAAGCTGTCCGGGCCTCCGGTCCCTGCCGCCTGGCCCACAGGGGAGAACAGGAGCTTCGAAAATAGCTGGGCCTCCCCACCTTCTCCTCTAGTCCCCCAACACAGCTGCTGGGGGACCCCCAAACTGTAATGGAAAAAGAGGCTCCGTGACCTCAAGGTCGCGCCATGCAGCCAGCCATTGTGTCTAGGTCCCTCAGCAGCCCCCGAGGACCTGACTTTGGGGTTGTCCGGAGCATATCGGCGCTTTAGAAGGTGGGCTCTGAAGGGGTGCCCGTGTCCTCTTTCAGCGCTGCTGCTAAGGAGCAGTGCGACCATCCACAGGTCACCCGCCCTCTTTCTGTGTCCTCATCAGTATCCCTCCTCAAGATGGGGATAATCGTAGTGCCCGGGCGATTGGAAAGACCACATGAAACTGCCTGTGAAGGTTTTGCAGGAGTTCCTGGCCTTTGCTAAGCTGTCGGTAAATAAGTCTTATTATTATTTCAGCACTGCCCATTGGGAATAGCAGTTCATTCGTTCATGTGTTCATTCATTCATTCACTTAACAAGTACTTATTACTTGGTCCTAATGAGGGAAACAGAGAAATAAAAAACAGAGAAATAAACAGAATACACGGGGTTCCGGTCCTCATGGACAGTGTGCAGGGCGTCTGGCAGTGAAAAGAAACTTGATGGAATAATGAGGGGCAGGCAGGGTCCTGCAGGAAGTGACATGTGAGCTGAAGCGGCCACTCAGCCAGGGGAAGAGGGTGGGGGTGAGGTGGACATCGAGCTGGATGGGCAGGGGGCCGTGAGGGATGGAGCGGGTGTGGCGTGTCCCCTGGAAGAACATTTAAGAGTTCCTCCAGGCACATCTCTGAGGCCACAGAGAGGGGCTGGTGTTTTATTCTAGGTGCAGCGGAGAAGCTCCGAGGGTGTGGAGTGGCAGCGGGATCAGGTGTGTGCAGGAGACACTCGGCCTGCCCATAGCAGAGTGGACTGAAGTGGACGGCAGTGATGGTCATTACCATCTAGGGAGCTTCTTCCACAAACCGATGTTCATCTCACCACTTAGTTTAAGTGAGCTTGAGCAGTCCGAAGTGGGGTGGGGGCAGGCGTCTCTGCTTACTGTCTGTTCGGAGGATCCCAGCTGCGAAGTGGGGGAGGGCCTTGCCTCCTCAGTGGGGAGAAGGGACCCCAGAGGGCTGCTCCCCACCCTCAGCCACCAGAGGAGACCCTGGCCCCAGGGGCCCCTGGAGGGTGCTTTCTGCAGGCTCAAGACGAGGGCCCCGCTCCAGTCCGGCAGGTGCAGTGGAGGCTGCGGGGCTGCCGCCCCCCAGGATTGACTGCTAATGGCTGCCTCCTGTCCCCCGGCCTCCTCTGGGGCTGTCCTTCTCAGGGTCAGCCAGCTCCCACTGCAGTGCAGGGCACCGGCTTGCCCATCTCCTCCCACATCCTGTCCCCACCACAGGCAGCCTGGCCCAGTGCCCCGGGCCCTGCCCTCCTGCCCAACTTCCTGATGCTGACACCGTCTTCTACCCGGGAGCCCGCAGCTCCTCTGCGTGTCTGCCCACCTGAGCCTGAGACTGTCTCTGCCTGGGTGTGACCAAGCCAGATCTCACCAGACTCGGGGGTTGCTTTTGCCTCTCCTGGGTGTCCCCAACCGAGGTCCCTGCCCTGGGTCGGAATAGGGTCTGCTGCCTCGCCCCCACCCTGCAGGTGTTTGCTCAGAGGAGGATAGAAGCCCCCAGCTCTCAGTGGTCCCCAGAGGACGAGCTGGGTGCAGGCACAGAGGGCCTGGGTGCTAGGGTGTGGAGCCGGGCTCTGGCCCTCAGTGGGCCCAGCCTGGTAGGTGAGGTGCCTGCCCTGCGTTCCCACAAGCAGGGGGCAGCTTAACCCCGTGAGAGCAGCGTCTGTGAGAGCAGCGTCTGAGCGCTCTGGCCCGTTTCACTCTCTCCTCCCTCCCAGTGATGAGAGAGCAGCATTATGAGCACTGGGTCTTTGCTGGAAGCGGTCCATTCACTCACTCCACAAACAGTCTTGAGCGTCCCCCACTATTAGATGTTCTGGACTCTCGGAATACACAGGTGGGGTGAGCAAAGCAACAGGAAGCCCTGTCCTCGGGGCGCTCGCGTTCTTGGGGGATGCAGTCACTTAATAGAAACAAGTTACGGGATGAGGGTGGTAATTAGCAGTATGGGGGAGCGAGAGCAGAGGGTGGGGGGCTGGTTCAGTGCAGTGCTGAGTAGCTGTCCCGAGGGGGTGCCATCTGAGGAAAAGAACTGGGGGGGGCGAGGAGTGAGCAGAGGGGACGTTGGGGCGGATGGAGGATGCTAGAGGCCGTTGTGGCTGGAGAGGATGAGCCTGAGGGGAGGTGAGCAGGAGATGAGCTTGCCCAGGGAGAGGTGCGGACGGGTGGCTCGAAGGGCGGTTGTTACCCCACATGGGGAGGCAGAAGGAGCCGGCGGGGAGGGAGATCGGAGTTCACATCTGGACGTGACCCAGACAGTTTATCGGGGTCCCAGGAGAGAAACCAGGGAGGTGACAGCGAAAGCATCACTGCGCCCTGAAGCATCTAGGGCGCAGTGCAGCCAGGAAAGGAATCGGGGTGGCTGGGGTTTACAGAGGTCACCTAGGAAGCTTGGGCGAAGAAAAGCCCCTTTCTCCGTTGGGGGCTTAGGAGGGTCCGCAAAGAGTCCTGAGGAGGCGAGGAGGGCATGAGGGCATCCTGGGGCCTAGTGACGTGGAGGGGACTTCCAGAGTTCTCCAGTGAGTCGGGCTGCTGAAAGGCCATGCGGGGAGCAGTGGAGGGAGGTTTACAGGGGATGGCGAGCCGGTGGGGACGCAGGGTGAGCCAGAGGGGACAGCGTGCAGGGAGAGCCGGAGAGGACACAGGGTGAGCCGGAGGGGACAGCGTGCAGGGAGAGCCGGAGGGGACACAGGGTGAGCCGGAGGGGACAGCCTGCGGGGTGAGCCAGATGGGACAACGT